TCTATTTTAAAGCTATTTTCTTTGCAAAGCCAAAGATGTAGTATGCTGTCTGGAAGATAATACTTAATCTATGCAGTGTGAGAGACCAAGCTGAAGTAAAAGACTTTTGGTCCTAAATCAGGGCTTTTGTTACACAGATAAAGGAACTGGTAGTTTATTTATTATTCTGATGCTGTAAGTTCAATAGATGCAATTCTCCCTTACTTTATTTCAACTTACTGCTCTAAAAACCTTAATTGGCTAAAAATGCCCAATCTTTTGCACATCTTTGGCAGATTTTGTGCATTAAGAGCAGTGCTCTTTTCTTTTCTTTTTTTTTTTTTTTTTTTTATGGGTTTTGCAAGCGTCAAGAGGAGAAGGGAAGTCAGAGTATGGATATTACCTGTGTAACTCTATCTGCTGCCTGAGTCACAGACACTGGCTGCAAGGACCCACTATCAATACTGGGATCTTCTGTGCCACTTGGGATGATGGAAAAGTGTAAGGAAGGTGGAGTGAGACTGAGGCACAGTGTGCAGGTGAGATGATGGGGTGGGGATTGTATTTTGGGGAATTTGCAGTACAGTAAGGGAAGAAGTGGCCAATGGACCCAGGACTTTCAAGCTTACTTATAGTTTAATGTGGATTTAAGAGCTAATGCAACTTCTGTTGGTCCTATTAGTACTTACCAAGCAAAGATACAAAATCCTGAGCTAGTTACTTGTGAGCTTTTATCACTTGCAAGCAAGGTCCTCAAATTTTAATGCCCGCGTGGTGAAACAGTTTCTGTTTGCGTAATTAATGCCATCCACAGGCAATGTAATGTTTGACCTCTAACAAATTCTAGAACTTAAACTTTCCAGCTGCATTTATTGTAAAAAGCTGCTGTGGCTACCTGTCAGCGTTGCTCAGTTGTTGTTTAATTTAACAAGAGTTAATTAAGCTGATGGCATATTGATAAATGTGTTAGAAAAACATATACATTGGCAAAATTTTACTGAATTGTTTATTAACTTTGTGCTTCTATTGTTTGTTGGTTAAAATAAATGTTCAGCCCTTGGTTACCTTCTTTCTGTTACCATTGTCCTGTTGGCTTTTTTTTTTTTTTTTTTTTTTTTGTTTAATATGTTTCTGTGCTTAAAATACTTGTATGTGTGGTTTGGATTGTTGTCTGAAAGCTTTTGATGTCAGTACTGCATTCTTGCTGGTTTCACAGAGTATTGAGCATCTTAAGACCTTTGACTGTTTTTAGAGTTATCATTTTGTAAAATAATAATAATAATAATAAAATAAAAAAAAATCACCTTACAGATTTACCAAAATGTATAGATTTATTTCATAGAGTTACCAAAATGTATGGAAAAAGTTAGCTAGCACATTTGGTCAGAGAACCATATGACCCAAAGGCCTGTTATTTGTGTTGACTGGAGATTTGAGAGGAAGTGGTAGGAGGCCAAAGTATGTGTGGGAGAGATGAAAGTGAGCTCCTGCAGTTCTGGCTGCCTTCTCCAGGACAACTTGAGCTGAGAACCAGGTGCTGCAGCCCTGTGTGACGCTGGCTGCTTCTCTCCTTGATGTGTCAGTGTCAGGCCAGATCATAGGAGAAGGCTGGAAGTAAGGATCTGTGTCCTTATATGACACTGAGAATCAAGCAGCGTTGAGAACGAAATCCAGATTGCTGACAGCATGTTTAATGTTTTAGGCATCCTTTTTTCCATCATGGCATTCAGAAGCATAGTGGCAGAAACTTTTAAAATGCATAATGTGATATTTGTCATTAGTGCCTTTGCTTTGTCAGAATGCTGAATTGAATTCAAATCCCAGAATTTCAGTAGATGTGGAAGTGAGGGCCAGCACAGACTGTAAAACAGTTTGTATTCTACCCAAGAAGCTGATTATACCTATTGGAACAGTTCAGTAAAAGGAGTGCTATAAAAAGCAAATTTGAAAAACTCAGAGAATACATTTCAGTTTGCATTCCATTTCCAGCCTTCATTGTGTATGCTCTATCTTCAAGAAGCTGGAAGGTGCATTAGTGCAGGAAGCGTCACTCTTAGCTCAAAAGGAGCACTGTCTTTAAGGAAGCAAGTGTGCCTGCTCAAGGATGGGACTCATTTGGCTGCCTTGGTAATGGCAAACATGGTGTTTTTCTCACGTGCATTTTTGGTGACGTGATGTGATGTGGCAGTCAGTTTGTGGCCACAACATGATGTCCGTAAAGGAATCCTATCAGAGGTGTGGAGGGTTTGTAACATTTGGTGGATCTGAGAATACTTTAAGATGCAGAGCAGGAGTATTTGCTGCAGCTCATTTGCTTCAGACAAACCCAAAATTGGATGTGGCCCCTGGTAGCTGTGCTCTCTTCCTAGAGGTGTTGTAGTGTTTGTAACATGGGATTATAATGTTCTTAGAGAAGGTTTGTGCTGCTCTTTAGTGCTTCTATTGCCTTTTCTTCTGTGTTTTAAGATACAAGGATTTCACTGTTCTGAAGGATGTTTCTCTGCTTCTGAAGTCCTTCAGTTGCATTGTATACAAATTGTGTTTGATAAATGGTTTTTTCAGCATTGTCATGCAACAGATTTTCATTTTTTTGGGGACAGAAGAGGCATGTGTCCAGGAGCCTCATTGTATGACCTTCCCTTGGGATGTAGGAGACCCAGATTTTAATTCTCTTGACCTAGAAGAGAAATACAGACATACTAAGTCACATCAGAGACTCATTTTGTATTCATCTCCTGTTGTGTTTCAGACAGGGCTAGTAATAGATGAATAAGCTATAAACAGCTCAAGAATAGAATGGTGCTTCTGTCTTTTTATGTCTGCATCTTTGTGTTTAGTAGCATTTGATGTACTTTTTGTTACATAAATTCATCTAACGTTAGATCAGATCTTCGTGTCTCAGAAGACAGACTCAACTCCTTTCATAAAACAAAGAGGGAAGTATTTATGCAAGGCTGCAGCTGGTGGTGTTTCAAGGCTGGTTCCAGGCAGCTTAGCAGCAACCTTTGCCTTTTGAAATGTGTAAAATCTGAGCTCAAGTCTCCTTCACTTCCCTGAGCAGAAGGATTGGAATTGTGCAGAGTAACTAAATGGAGAGAGTGATGGGTGGTTTCTAAAAGAAGTGACATAACTTAGGAGAGGATTCATAGTTGAAAAGCCTGAAAAACCACAGAAACCTTTCTTAAGTTTGAAGACAGGCAGAGACTACATTTATACCTTCTGTTGACCACTTAGTTTTCTCTGAGCAGCTTGTTCAAAGGTACGGTATAAGGAGAGGTGAGTGAGAGTGAGAGGTCTCTCACTCCCTGTGGGAGTCTGGACCTTGCAGCCAGACATTTATTTTCCTTTCAGCTCATTTGGTTTCGTTTTCTCTGAAGAGGGTGACAACTGAGCAGGTTCACATATTCTTTCCCACACAGTAAATTCTTTTTTCTTCTTGATGGTACTGAGGGATTGACCATGCTTCTAACATAAAATTCAACTTTACATGTGAACTTCCAACTGCATTGACAGAACTTACCAGATGAATCCATGCAATTTCCCACAGTGTGTTCACTGACATGTCTGTCCCTATGTGCTTACACAATCTCAGATTCAACAAACATGGCACCACCTTACTCATCCATTGTGGCTGTGTTATGTGGCTGCCTACAGATCATCTAGCATCGTCTGACTCGCTGTGTATGACCACTTCTTTTTTTTAATGCTTTGTGTTGCTCAGCACAGCTAGAATTAAGCCCTTAATAATGTTTTCATTATTGCTTTCCCAGTAGGACATAGGGTGTCAGCAAATTGCAAAGTAAGCTGCACCAAGAAAGGAATTTTGGAATACTTGCAGAGTTTGAACAGGAGAGACTTGAACCTCTTGGGGTTTGCTGCATTTGGGAAGCACTTGCTCATGTTAGCTAAAAGCCTTTCTTCCCCTGCAACACCATTCTCTTCTTTTTGTCACATTAACCTTCCTCCACTATCTCCACAAAATGGCCTTCATGCAATCTGGCATGTCAGCTGTTGCCTTTGTGCATTGTATTGGGGCTGGGATAAAGTGTTGTAAGCTCTTCAGCCCTGGTGCTTTGTAATACATCATGAATGCTGATAATGCTCTCATTAAGAAAAAAGGGAAAAAAAGCAACCAAACAAACTCACAATTAACAATAACTAAGCAGATTTGGGAACAGTGAATTTCCAAAAGGAGTTCTACTTTCAAAGAAGATTTTCTTTTTCTTCCCCTTTTTAAAGCTGTTCGGCTTGGTATTTTCATTATAGAAAACTGCATTGTTAGGAAACACTCATGTAGATATTAGTGTTACATGCTTTATCTTCATAAAGCCAGTTAGTGTTTGGATGGAAGTTAATCTGCCTCACAAGTATAATTCACAACCCTTGCGTTAGAAGTAGCAGCAAGCAACCACACTGCAGAACCATATCTTAAGAATGAGAAGTACTGGCCTGCTTCTGTACATCTGTCCTTCGTGTTTCTATTTTGAGAGGCTTTTTCCACTAACCCAGTGTGTCAGTATGAATGCCATGCAGAGAGTACCATCCACTGCAGCAGAGCTCCTTCAGGGAGAGAGCTTAATCAACCCTGAGGTGAGTTCTTAAACAGGGAAGGTGACAGACTGTGGAAATGAAATAAAGATGTGAAATATTTGAAAACAGGAATGTGAGACTATCTCCTGGAGAGGAGCAATTCTATTGCACACTGTAAGGCATAAGCAGAATTCTGCTACACATTGTGTGGCATAAATAGAACATCCATCCTGACCTCCCTCACTGCAGTGAGTACTTGAAAAATGAAACTCGGGTGGACTCTCTAAATTAGACCAACAACAACAGAAAACATAATGAAGCACCAGTGATGTAAAAATTAAGATTTTACAGCTCTGGCTGTAATTAGCAAACTGTCATACTGCATTATCATTTGGAAGCAGAAGGGAGGAAATGGAGGAGTGAATGCCAGAGAGCTGAAAGCTGAAGTCACAGCTCAGACTGACCTCTGAATGTCTGTTTTTCATTGGCAGGTTGATGACGCCAGGCAGCGAGATTCGATTTGTCCATAAGCACATGGGCCTGGTGCCAGGCTGGGGAGGAGCCGCCAGGCTGGTGCAAATTGTTGGCAGTAGAGCTGCCCTCCAGCTGCTGAGCGGGGCTCGTGGGGTGGACCCTGAGAGAGCGCTGCATCTCGGGCTGTCAGAGGGGACCTTGTCTTCTTCAGATGAAACTGAATCACTAGAAGAAGCTCGAGCCTGGCTGAGTCAGTACACAGAGGGTCCAGCTAGTGTGATTCGAGCTGTGAAAATGGTGGTCACAGCTGGAAGAGAACTGCCGCTGGAAGCTGCCTTAAGGACAGAGAAGGATGTTTTTGGAACTGTGTGGGGTGGGCCTGCCAATTTGGAGGCACTGGCTAGAAGACAAAAGCATAAGTGATTGTCAATATATAATAAATATTCTTGATATTTTACACACGAAGCTTTCACCAAAGCAGATAATAGATTGAATTGTTTAGTGCCACTTTAAAGGAACAAGTTCTTCACATTCCTGTCATTCATGTCTGGCAGACATATTTGGTGTGCAACCACACAGTAATCCCCAGAAGATCCCTTACTGTTTTAATCACCTACTGAATGAAGATTAGTGAAATTCCTATGTAAAGGTAAATACTGTGCTTAGAATAGAATCTAATTATTTTGGAATGAAGCTGAAGATTATTTTCTTTGGAATAATTTTGTTTTTTTCTAACTGGTATAGAAATGAATTGTGTGAGAGATGAGAGGTTTCTTTATTTACAGAACAGGTGTGCCCAAAGCTCTAAAAGTTCTAAAACCTTAAAGCAACTTTGAAGCTTTGATATCTGGTAAGAGTATCGTTTTTTCATCTTCAGTCAGTTCTTGGTATAATTGTTCAGAAAGTATACAAGGATGTGTTACTTTTTAGGTTTTTGGGTTTGTTTTTTTTTTTTTTAGAGAAATTGTTCTAACTCACTGAAGGGCTTGTAGACTTTATTTGCTGTTGTGGATCCAGATCTGTAAGTGCGTTTAGGTGTCTACTCACAGCTTTGGAAACCAGCTACCAACATATGCATCTGTGCATTCTCACAGCATTGGTCTGTGTTGCTGGGCACAAGCAAAGCTGCTGACATCATTTTTCACTTTGAATCTTCTTGAAATTTTAGAAGATTATGGTGTATAATGCTCCCCAAATACAATTATTTTATTTTTTTTTAGCAAGATGCTCTCGGTACTTCAGCATTCATGGGAGACGTGTCTGGAAGGACTTGTTTTCCTATTACTGGTAGTACTGTTTGGGCTGTGAGAGACCAGATCATTGGAACTCAGTAACCGTGTGTATGGGAACCGTTTGGTCATGGCCTGAACCAGTGATTGAGCACCTGGTGAAGGAACACAGCCAGCCCTGGGATCACAGGTGGAAGCAATTCACCAGTGCAACCAGAAGGGGTGAACACAGGGTTTGCCCCTCACTAACCTCATTTAAGGGCTGGCATCAAAAGGGAAGCAACTCTACTTGAAGATCATCTCCCCTGGTTGTTTCTAGGGAGCCCTGATCTTTGGAAAAGGGGTAAGCTATTCATTCTTTATTACTGGATTGTGACTGTTACCTTTCCTGGGTGATTCGAAACTGCTTAAAGGCAACTGTATCAACTGCCACTTTTCTTACACCATACTGGTGTGACTGTGTGAATTACTAGATAACTCAGCAGGGAGAGTTTTTCCTTTAGAAATTAGAAACTGACACAGAGTCCCTGCTTTGGCTGATGATTCTTCATTTAGAGTGCAGCATCTGTGAAAGCAGAAATGTACAGGCATATCCATAACTGAGAATTTCCTATACAGCTGATCACCTTGTCTCTCAATCCAGTGATGATGAGGGCTGGACCTGGGACCCACGTACCCCAGGGGAGCATGTTAAGGAGGAAACTCTGGACTATTTGGCATGGATGTGCATTCTTGCTCTCACTAAGCATTACTAACTAGGTGCATGGTTCAGAGTTCCTTAGGAAAAGGAAGTGATTCCTTGCATGAAAATTCATGTTATGATTTTCACAGTGTGGTAGGATTACCAAGCTTGAGACAGTGAGGTAACTATATGTAGGTTTGAGGATTTGGGGACAGATCAGTGACAGAGAATCAGGCTAAATGGCCAGCTAAGATTCTGTAGCTTTTGAGTATATGCTACTTTCTGCTGGGTATTTTATTATATGGCTTTCACAGTGGGGAGTGTAGCATAAAGCAACCAAAAGAAATGCTGAAGAAAGGGGTGTGTTTTGAGCTGGCAACTTGCAGAAGATGAGCAACTTTGGCCTGTTGATCCCTCCTTTCCGCCTTTGCATGTTATACTACTTTCAGAGGATGATTTCACACCTCCCTATCCTAAAAATAATGTTTGTGAGTTTTTTACTTCCAGATTAGAGATGGGAATAGGAATACAGGGAGAGGGTATTGTCTATTATGTGCTTTCCCTCTTCCCCTTTCTTCTCTAGCAGCTCATTGTTTAATAGCCCTGTGCTGGTGGGTGTTTTCCTATACTCTAGAGAGTTTCAACCCCATGACTTAAGAAATAAGGATGCTTTAATATAGTAAGGGAATACTTGATTCATTTGTAATGAAGCTGATTTGCTTTTCATGAAGTCTCTCAATCCCTGAGGGATTCCAGATTGCCCATCTGTCTGTACCTTCAAAGCATGTTCCGGTCCACGTTCCCTCCTCCTCATGCCCTATTCAACTTTGTGAAGCAATAGCACCTCACGTTGTCAGTCAAAAAAATGTGCTTTTTTCTATGGCAAGTAAGTAGGCCTCTGCCACCAACAATTTGCCAAGTTTGCTGTTGCTAATATTGTGATTTTTTTTAATTTTTTTTTTTTTTTTAATAGCTGTGAATATTTGAACCTAATAAAGGCCACTTGTATCTCTTTTTTTAAAATCAAAGTGCTATAAGGCCCCCAGTAGTATATTCTGTGAACTGAGTGATACAAATTGGGTAGGAAACCGCAGTGGAAATGCTGCATCTGTTTAATGTATACAGTTTGAACTAGACCTGTGCTGTCAGTAAGTGAAACTAGGTACGTATGTACATCTTATATGCACAAGAGTCCTCTTTCCAGTTTGATGTATAGGCACGGAGCTGCTTGTTTCAGCAAATGCCTTTCTCCAGCAATCCCAGTGCTTGTTACTAAGAACTGGACGTGTAATCAACTGGTGCTAGAACAGCCAAGACGCTGTCAGAAAAGGTTACAGGAAACTCATTTTTGCCCTCTCAGTTGGAATCGCAAATACACCAAACACTACTGTAGGAGATTCTCGTAATTATAGGTGTTTGCTTTGATCAAAGATTTGGTGCACAGTCTAATACTGTATTATTCTTCTTCATTTTAAAAAATAAGTACAGTCTTTACTATGAAAACCAGCCTAACTAAATTACTGTGAGTGCTATCATGAGGGCTCCAGACTGAGATGAAATGGAATCCCATTTTAGAGATTTCAAACCTAAGTGGTCAATTTCAGAGCACTTGTCATCCTGAAGTGCCAAATACCTGTAACCAGCAGCTAATAGGCATTTATATTTTCTTTAAATTTGTTAAAGACTACATGCTGCTATTCCTTTAGAAATGATCTAAAACTGAACAAGCACCAAATGCACAAAATGAATTAGAAACCCAATTCAGAATTGATTCTCCCTGGTCTCCTAATTAAAAGGAGTACTAGCTTTTGTATTTTCTAGGGGCTGATTTGCCATCTCTCTCCTCAGCAAACGAGGTTTTCTATTCCATTGTGAAATGCCTGTCTTATTTCTTCCCTCTGTGTATTGGGACACTCTTGAGTGCTTAAAGTGCATGGATTCTTAGCTGAAAGCTTGAATACTGTCACGCTGGGGATCACTTCTAGCAATATTGATACTTCCCCATATTTGCTGCTACCCAACCTTTGGCAGGAATATACTTACCCAGGTAAGCTTGGTGCTCCCCCTGCTTCATTAAAGAAAAATATATGCAGTGTAGCTGTAACTCGGCTAAAATAGATGCAGAATAAGTTTACTACTGAAGATAACAGTTTAAATATAAGGTGGGAATTACTGGTTGCTACTTCTTCCTTGCATGATCTGGGAGAGGGTTTGCCACTCTCATTAGCTGTTAAGCTCCCATCAACCTTACTTTAATTTTAGTAATTCGTAGCTGCAGTCAACCCTAGGGGGGGAGCCAAAAGCAGTACTGATGGGTGTTTGGCCTGAACAGAAGTCTGTTTCTGCTTTGGTCAAAAACCCTACTGGATAATCACTGATAAAATTCATTGTGTATATGGGTGTATATATATATATATATATATTTTTTTTGTACTGAAACTCCTCAAATTAAGTATACAGCAGGTCCTGTACTTTGCCTCTTGCTTTAACAGGGCGTGACCTTACCCTAAGTGAAATGCATGCAAACACTGGAAGCATTCTTACTACTTTACAGCACAAAGTTAGACTTTGATTAGAACTAGTGTATGGTACTCAAAACAAAAAGAAAGGTGACAGCTAACAAATGAAAGTAAAAAGTGCTCCAAACTCTTTCCTGCCAAAGGTCACATTACTGGCTTTGTTCTTCATGGAACTGGAATGTGAAAATCTGTGACCAAGACTATCCCAAAGCTGAGAAAGCAAGAAATACTCTTTTTATCTGTCTCAGTCTCCTGTGCAGTTTCCTTTGTTCACTGACCCACTGTTTCACCTGTGGGCAGAGAAGTCAGAAATGGATACAGTTTTGCCCAGGAAAATGCATGTCAGCCTTTGTTACTGTAAGAAAGTTTTAGAAACTTAAATCTACCATTCTTAAAAGCCAGCCCATTTAATTCTCTTCAAATGATTGTGTACTTACAGCACCTTTTTGTTTGATGGATGGGAATACTTAAGAATCAGCTATCAGCCCTTTCTATTCAAGGCCACGTGCACCAAGAACTACAGTTTAATTAGCTTTATCTTAAAGGCAATGAACAGATGTTTTTAAAAAAATGAGAAACAACTGCTATAATAAAAACAAGTTGTGCTTAAAATCTGGCTTGTAGACTTTTCTAATAATCATTCTATAATAACTGGGGCCAATTTGTGAGTGCATTTCAAATACAAGTCCCAAATATCTGATCTCTGTAGTTATGAGCTTTGCTATGAAGAACAGATAATAGCAATCTAGTCCTTAACACATCTTCTGTACTTTAGGGTCAAGTATAATTATTTTTGCTCTTGCATTTCAACACTTATGCTGCTAATAAGACTGTGTGATACTTTTGCCCACAACAACAGTGAAGTGAGTTGGTCAGCACTTGAGAAGTATGAAGCCTGTGTTAGCAGTAAGCCTGTTACTTGTGATTTTATTTTTTTTTCATTAGAAACACATACTCCTCCTAGATCAGTGTTCTGGTTGAAATAGTCAGGAACATGAGAACTTAAAGATGCCACTCTAAACCAATCCTTGCTTTTGGCGAATACAGGAAGTTGTTTCATGATTGTTTTCTTTAAAGTTCCTCCATTTATGTTCAATTAAATTGGAGACATATCTAAGATGGTTACTGATAAAATGTAGTTTTATTAAATTATAAATTCCGTAACAAAAACGAGACGGATCAAGAAAGACCTCAAAAACAGAACTACAAGGACTAGATGGCAAAGCTGATGAAAATGCCATGAAGTGTATAGGTAAGAATTTGCAACAAAAGTTAACAGCATTTTTACATTTCCATTGAAGGAAGGTAAATGCTTGCTCTTTGTCTAGTAAAAACACATTTTAACTCCAAACTCACATCTATTTTTCTCACATTAAATTAAGCATCCTGCTCACACCCAACATCGTGTCTGCTCCCACGTTGCTTTAGTGTTCTTTTCATACATCAATCCATGCAGAAAGTAGTAAGACACTTAATGCAACAATCAGATAATGAAGACAATTCAAGTTGTACAGTAGATATACATTGGCCAAAAAGGGATAGAGTATCTTCAAGGGCAAAATGCTACAAAATAAACACAAGACATTTTCAAGAAAACCGGGTATTGCTAAGCAGCTTTCAAACCATTAACAGGACAACCCAGTTTCTTACAGTTAGTCTTCCAGCTAAGACATGTTAAAAGACTTAAGTTAGGCCAAATCTGCTGCTTCCCTTCGCCCCACCCTCCCACCAAACACACTGCTAGGTCTGAGTGCAATGCCAACGTGGACAGAAAATTTACAGATAGGAGACTGAGTTTTTAAATTGCATGGCTCCAGATTTACACTTCAGTGACTGTGCACTGTCCATCTGGCCTCCTAGATCTTACACTTGCATTTGCCACCCCTCCCCCTGCCACTGGTCTATCCGCTCCAGGCTGGTTTGTGTTTGCATTCAAGTGTCTCTGCTGGGCAGAGGATGGATGTTGCTGGAGGGGATCAGACACATCCTCGCTATCGCTGCTAGCATCCGATTCAGTCTCCTCCACAGAGGTGTCAGGGGCTGGTACCCTACCAGAAGATGATGATTCGTGGTCCTCCTCTCCCTCTCCTCTATGACTCCTTTCAGCCATACTGTCTCCATTTATTTGTAAGTGGGCAAAAGAGTTCTCCAGAGAAGTGCTTGCATCAGGAGAGGGTGTCGAAGGACTCACAAGCTGACCATCCAGTGATGGCAGGGGCCTAGCAGAAACAGGCACCAGAGGCTGTACAGCTGCAGCCCCTCCAGTCAGTGTGCTATCTGCACCATCAGCAGAGCTCTCTCGTGCCAGGTTGACACTGTTACTGTCACAGTCCAACCTAAGCCCAGCCACTCCCTTCTTTGGTATATCTATTATGTCCCGTTTTATTTTTCTGCGCCGTCCATGCTCATTTCTCCTATACTGAACCATGTTTTCCAGATCTGCTATGTACAAAAACCCAGCAATTAGCATTTCAGTGCTCTTTTTACCCTTGGAAAAGGCATCTTCCAGCTCCCTGCTGGTACGTTCATCATACTGCCACCAACCATTTCTTCCTTCATAGTACCAAGCGTATTCTCCATTGCCTCTGCTTGCTGCTTTGAGTTCTTCTGGTGATAATAGAGTTGGCTTGTCAAGAAAATCCTCTGGGATCTCCTGTCGGCAGAGCGCACAACGTTTCCCAAGCCAAGAAGCTCCCTTGACACATAGATAGCAGAACACGTGTTTACAAGGCAGACTTACTGGATGGACACACGTTTGCAGACAGATAGCACATTCAGGGACTGTCAGGGAAGGTGCAGCATTAGCACACGACTCATTTGTCTTCCTGTTTGTGGGAAGCATGTTGATTGAATGATCTATTTCACCACAGCCAGCCATCCTGCAGAAGATCAAAGAGAGGCTTAAGTCAGTTTATTGTGTCAACCTAAACTAGTGCCGTTACCTCGCAGTCCACATAATGAGATGTTTGCCTTATCTTAAGGTGAGGTATCGTTTATGAAGCTCAACTTCTGAAGAAACTGACACAGGTTAGCATCCTGTTTCCTCAGTCAACAGACTAAGCTGAATTTAGGGAGAATTTCTTTTGTAATCACTAAGCTTTAATTTTCTGCTTCATTTTTAATAAAATATCGTGCCAAGCTTTGAAATTTCCTCTGTCCTCTTCTTGAAGCAGTACTGATTGATGAACTTCATGCAGCCTAAAGGTACTACAAAATGTCCAGCCATTTTGGAGCATCCTCAGAAAATTTAAAGAAGCTATGATTCTTTTCCCAAGGGGGTAACTTAACCACAGATCCATCTAATTTCACAGTACTGGGGTTCATCAGTATGATTTGTGGATTATTGGAACAGTCCATAGTACAAAATGAATTTGGCAGAAGCACCAGACCGTATTCCCACTCTGTTAGTCACCATACACCCCAGTGTACTATTCCTGAGACTGCTTTGCAACAGCCACAGGGCTACAGAAAGAACTGGATTTGAAAACTGAAGTGACTTTTTCAAAACATATCTTGCATTTCTTATTCCCAAAGAGCAGGTGAACTCGCTGATTTACCTCAAAAGGAATTGTTCCAGCCCAACAGAAGGGGTAGTATATCACAGGAGATGAAACACACAGCCAGAATCTGATTAGTTTGTGAACTTCCTTCTCTAGTCATGCCTTACTTCTGTCATTAAAGATGATTTTTCTAACCAACTCTATGAAAAGTGAGGATAAGACCAAAGAATGCATAACTGTGCTGCTCTGTCATTTTGTAGCAGTTCAATAGGTGAAATACTCTAGCTTTAACATGCAAAAAACTGCTTAGAGATGTTTTAGTCATGCCCATCTTTTTATACATTGTTTCATGTTAATTTTCCCTTTATATTCTTACATATTAGCAATCAAAACAAAACACCAAGTATCAAATGAGGGAGAAAATGGGGCCTGAAAAGTTACCTTTTCCATATTAAATCTCCAAGGAATTTGGTAGAATAGGGCTCATATTTAGCAAAACAGCCTTCTGGTAAAACTAGTCTTTGGTGTACAAACAATTGAGAACGGCTAAACCAAAATGATCACGGAATCACAGAAAGGTGGGACTGGGAGGGACCGTCACAGGTGATGCAGTCCCAGTCCCATCTCCCGCTCCACATGATCCAACCAACAGTTCTAGATCTGGCCAGTCATGGCCTTGTCTAGATCAGTTTTTTGAAACCTGCAAGGATAGTTGTATCACAGTCTGCCCAGGCAGCCTGTTCCAATGTTAGACATACTTCTAGCAAAACACTCAGGAGAAAATCTCCATTGTTAACTGTAAAAGCCTTGCTGCTTTACACAAATATCACTGGGCTATTAAAAAAAAAAAAACAAAAAAAAACCCACATTATTATAAATATAGATACAGAAGCATATATAAGTGCTATTTACTTAAAATGTCTCTCTCCATACTGTTTCCTTCTATCACTGTAATTTCTTTCGAAAAAGTCCAATGCCTTTCCCTAATCCAATTATTTTAATCAAACTATTTTTAAAAGCTCTACAGCTCATATTTTTCCCTGAAGTAGCACATAATTGTGTCCATCTATGTTTCAGTTTTGTATCTAAATTCTTCTCTGAGATTAAACCCTAATCTGTGTGCTAGTTCTTCATGTCTGCCATGTCAGCTGCAGACATGGCTCTACCTGGTAATTGTCTTTACTGTACAGTACATGTGCAAGATCCATGCCAGCAGTGTTGAGAACAAGTTGCTTTCTGACAGCCTCACACATTTCAAACAAAACTTTACAACAAAATTCCTTTTTTTGTTTTGTTTTTATGATGAGAAACTTGTTAGAAAAAGGAAGGAAGAAAAGCTATTTGAATTTCAGAGTACCCATGGATACAATTCGATCAGTATCTCACAACAAAAGAGCTGAAAGAGAAATCCATGTATCGACTGATTTCTGCCAACCATGGCTGAGGAATAAAGATCTGAATTTTCAAATGTTCCCATAATGACATATTACTGTGAGAAAAGGCACAGCAGCTGAGATTTGTTTCCACGCTGCAGTTTTACAAAAGGCTTCCTTCCCCTAAATACATTTTACAAGCTTGTCAGCT